AAGTAAAAACAATTAGGACTCTGGGAGAAGCAACAGACTAGATTATAAGATAATGTGACATTCTCAACACTCTCTTTTCCTTTCCTTCATCCTAACACATTTTGACTATTTCATCTACAAGAGATTCAAAGCAGCCCTTGCTATTGCATTTCCTTCACTCCATCATCTTAGCCTGGGTCCTCCTACTCTACCCCTCTCCCAGGTGTTGATCAATCTATTTCCTTCCTATACAGGAATTCCATATCCTTATGTCCAATGTTTTATGAGTGTTTCCCTTCCTCCTGAATTCACAAGAATAAAGAGCAATTGTAGTAAGATCATAAAAAATAACCAAGATGACATAGGACTCCTTAGATGATAAATGAGAGATAGACTCATTAAAGAACTGCAATCATGTGAATTTATGAGTCAAATACAATGTAAACCTGTCCTGATTCAGGGTTTTCTTTGTATTTGGGTATCAAAGCCAGACTATTTGTCTTTCAACTCCAACAGTTATGAATATGTGCAACAATGATAATAAAATCTAATATATGTGATAAACACTGTTCCAAGCACTTTACTTATATTATGTAAATCTTATAACAACTCTATATGGCATACACTATTATTTATAGTTTACAGATCTATTGAATAAGTATCATTTATGAATCTGTTTCACAAATCTACTGAATCATATTGAAGTTTATAGATCTAAGTGGCAGATGCAGGATTCACACTGCAGCATTCTGGTGTCTAAGTCCGTGTTCTGAATAAAAATGCTAATGAAATATATTGTGATCTAAAATGCTAATTGAAGGGGAAAGAAGCTGACCTATTAAGACAGCTTATGCGTACTGTTTCTTTCTATTGGGCACAGGGTCACTGTGAGAAGGAACTGACTCAACAGTACCTAACATCAGCAACACATATACTAGAGTATGAAGAAATACAAACCCAATCCCACTGCCTTGGAGTGAATTCCAACTCATGGCAACCCTACTGGATAGAGTAGAATGGCTGCATAGGGTTTCCAGAATTGTACATTTTTATGGTAGTAGGTAGTTTCATCTTTCTCCTGTGGGTTTGAACTACAAACCTTGTGGTTAACAGCTCAATGTTTAACCCAGTGTACTACCAGGACTACTAAGGAGGTACAAGTAATAAAAGAAAATAGTACTCTTTATTTTCATTATATCAAGGTAATGATCCATAGACTTAAACTTATATAGACTTCATGGCATTATGTTGAATGAGAAAAAGGTCAAAAATAGTACCATGGTTTGTAGCCAAAATAGGATGCATTTGATATAACTAAACTCTTAAAGCGCAATCATGTATTGAAAACGTTACTGTGAATTGATGATTTCTTTTATTCATTAACTCAACAAATAAATATCATCTTGAATGTTCACATCTCAGAGGCTTGCTTCTTCTACGTCTCAGAGGCACGTTTCTTCCTATTGCTAGTGATAAAGTAAAGCCTTATATTCAAATTTTCTCAAAAGTGGAATAAACAATAATTAGGAACTTTGATCTTACTGGACTTGCTGAGGAAATGTGAAGGACATAAAAGACACTTATTTCCAAAGTAAAAGAAAGCATTTTTAGGAAGGAAACGGAAAACTAAGGAAGACTAACTTTAAGTAGTATGTTGTTGCTGTTACTTGCCATCGAGTAGGTTATGACACAAAGCGACCCCGTGTAGGGTTTCCGAGGTAAGTTTGAGCTGTTGACCTTGAGGTTCAAAGGGACCTTGCTGTCCAGCGCAATAACCGCAGCACCACACTGAGACCCCTTATGGGATACGTGATTTGAGAATCTGTATCTCAGCGTTCAAGGAGCTCTGGTAGCGTAGTGGTTACGAATTGGGCTGCGAGCCGGGCTGCGAGCCGCAAGGTCACCAGTTCGAAACTACCAGCCGCTCCATGGGAGAAAGATGAGGCGGTCTGCTCCCGTAAAGATTTACGGCCTCGGAAACCCTGCGTAGGGTCGCTATGAGTCGGAACCGACTCCACGGCACATAACAACAACAACAACAACATCTCAGAGTTCAAGGAAAACATGTAGACAAGATGGTATAAAAGGCGAGATAAGATGGAATGTTGCTGTTGGCTGTTATGTGCCATCACATCGGTTCCGACCCCTAGCGACCCTATATAGGGTTTTCCAAGGAACGATTCCTGAACTTGAACTGCCAACCTTGGGGTTCAAACCGACATTGCAGTCCAGCTCATTAACCCACAGCCCCACAAATGAAAGTGTTGTTGTTGTTAAGTGCCCATAGCGACCCTGTATAGGGTTTCAAAGAGCAGCTGGTGAGCTTGAACCCACCGACCTTGCAGTTCAAACGACTTTGCAGTTTGTCGCATTAGCCCACAGCACCACACCAGGACTCCACAAATGGAATAGGAAGTCTTAAAGAAAGTCTTAAAAGGAAAACTTAGAGCTTAAAATTTTAAAGCCTAGTGTCTGGAATCAGAAAACCTTTTCCAGACTGATTTAAAAACTTCTGTTTCTCAATTTTTCATTTTGTACTGCAGGAACAGTTGTACCTGCCCTATTGTGTATTGTGTAATTTCATGTGCTATATGAAGCTCTGGTAGCGTAGTGGTTACGAATCGAGCTGCGAACCTTAAGGTCAGCAGTTCGAAACGACCAGCTGCTCCGCGGGAGAATGATGAGGCTTTCTGCTCCCGTAAAGACTTACAGCCTCGGAAACCCTGTTCAGGGTCGCTATGGGTCGGAACCGACTCGACGGCACTTAACAACAACAACATATGTATATGCAATTTGAGATATAATGGAAACTGAATACAAAATACAAGAGTGGGTTTTTTGTTGTTTTTTTAAGTTAAGGTATGGGAATATGAAAACTTAGTTGAGGGGTAAAGCATTATTTCGAAGGAAAACTAATACCTTGAGACTATAATGGGGAGAAGAAGAGATTAAAAATAGCGTTATGTAGTCGGGGCAAATGGCTGTAGACCCATAAATGAAAGACTACAGTATAGCTTCCAAAAGCTGTTATTTCATATTGCTGTTTTAAAAGCTAAGAGTGCTAAAAATGCACAGCAAGTTAAAAAAGAAAATATGGAACAAGAAGAGATTTTATCTCTTTTTAAAATTTGTGTTTTTGTATTTTCTGAATATGTATAGCAATAAAATAATTTAGACATGGTAATATTTTTTCTCTAAATGAAAACACATATTATTAAATGGCACATTATGAAACTTAACAGAAGGTAATGTTTGAAGTTAGTTCCTGAGCAATTTTGCTTTTAAGAAACACTTGCATCTGCTTCCCCTCATCTGTACTGATAGAAAGTTTGAAAAGGCATGATGCAGAGAGAAGATAGGAGAGATGGTCCATTTCCTAAAACAAATTAGGGTGAATGTTGTGGCTATTTTGTCCCTAAGATCAAAATTGTTGTTGTTGTTAAGTGCCGTCGAATCGGTTCCGACCCATAACGGATTTCCGACGAGTGGCTGCTGTTCAAGCCGATTTTGCAGTCCTGCGCATTGAACCCACAGCGCCACCCGCCATAGATCAAAAAACATAAACAAACGCGTTAACTATTCGGTCTATTCCAAATAAGAGTAATTCCATGTATTACGCAGTAGAACTGCTTCACAGAATTTTCTTGGTTGCAGTCTTCATGAATGTTTCTTCAATAGCATTGCTGGGTAGAATCAAATTTCCAACCTATAGGTTAATTGTTGTTGTTATTGTTATGTGTCGTGGAGTTGGTTCCGGCTCATAGTGACCCTGTACAGGGTTTCCGAGGCTGCAAATCTTTACAGGAGCAGAAAGCCTCATCTTTCTTCCGCAAACAGCTGGTAGTTTAGAACTGCCGACCTTGAGGTTCGCAGCCCAATTTGTAACCACTACACTACCAGAGCTCAAGCACAAACCATTTGTACGACCATTCCACTGGCAAAAAATAATAATAATAATGGAAATGTGTATTCTAATCATAACATGAAAAATCTCTCTTCCTTCCTCAAATCACTTCTATCCTGACTCCTCAAAATGCCTTATGATGTATCTCAAAAGAAAGGGGTTGGATCCTTAACTGTTCTCAGCAAGGGATTACTATTTAACTTTTTTTTTAAGTGCATTTCTCATTGTACCTGCCTGCTGATTTTGTTTGGTCACTGACTACTGACCCTTTTTTTTCAGCAAACTACTGATGTGATGCTAAATGATCAAAGCACAAGCTTAGTGTGCTACCAGTAATCATAGTACAAACAGATGTTAGAAATGGCATGCATAATTTATGTATTTGAGTATTCCAAAAGCAATTTGTTTTTCACTTCTGAAATAACAGCATCTTTTTTTAAGAAGCAGCAAATTAACCTTATTTATGTTTGGACAGCTGCCAAAAAGAGATTAAAATAGTCTGGATTACATAAAGGATATTTAGAATCATAAAACTAACATATGCTTATTGCTAAACACTAGGAAACGTGAAAATATAAAAGAAAGAAAAGCAAAATTATCTCTAACCTTATTAGAAATAGGGCTTTGCATCCTGTCTTGTAACTTAGAATAATGGAGAATTTTATCATGCAATTAAGTAGTCTCTGAGTATATTATATATCTACTTCTTTTATCTTTGAGATATTTCTATAATAGTATCACCACCAATTATGGAAAATTGTTTCTTATAAAAATCATCAAAGAATATATCTATGTTATAGATCTGACAATATAACAAAATGATGGCTCAGTGACTAAATGCTTGGCTGCTAACCAAAGGTTGGTGGTTTGAACCCACCAGCCACTCTACAGAAGAAAAATGTGGCGGTCTACTACTCTAAAGATTTACAGTTTGGAAAACCCTATAGAACAGTTCTACTGTGTCCTATAGGGTTGCCATGAATTAAAATAGACTCAATAACAATGTTTTTATTGGGGGGGGAGGCTGTTGGACAGTATGCTACTTAAAGGCCTTAGGGGAATATTCTTATTGTGACCATAGTTATTGTTTCGTCATCCACAGAAAGAAGTTTGTCAGATGCAAGGTTTCAATAGAACTACTGTGGTCACACAGTTCATCCTGGTGGGATTTTCCAGCCTAGAGAAGCTCCAGCTGCTGCTTTTTGTCACTTTCCTTCTACTGTACTTGACAATTCTGATGGCCAATGCAACCATCATGACTGTCATTCGCTTCAGCCAGACACTACACACGCCCATGTATGGCTTTCTATTCATCCTTTCCTTCTCTGAATCCTGTTATACATTCGTCATCATCCCTCAGCTGCTGGTTCACCTGGTCTCTTCCACCAAGACTATCTCCTTTGTGGCCTGTGCCACTCAGCTCTTCTTTTTCCTTGGTTTTGCCTGTACCAACTGCTTTCTCATTGCAGTAATGGGGTATGATCGCTATGTGGCAATCTGCCATCCCTTGAGGTATACACTTATCATGAACAAAAGACTTGGACTGGGGTTGGTTTCTCTGTCAGGAGCCACAGGCTTCTTAATTGCTTTGGTGGCCACCAACCTCATCTGTGGCATGCCTTTTTGTGGCCCCAATAGAGTCAACCACTATTTCTGTGACATGGCACCTGTTATCAAGTTGGCCTGCACAGACACCCACATAAAAGAACTAGCACTCTTCAGCCTCAGCATCCTGGTGATCATGGTGCCCTTTCTGTTAATTCTCATATCCTATGGATTCATTGGTAACACCATCCTGAAGATCCCCTCAGCTGAGGGCAAGAGGAAGGCCTTTGCCACCTGTGCCTCCCACCTTACTGTGGTCTTTGTCCACTATGGCTGTGCCTCTGTCATCTACCTTCGGCCCAAGTCCAAGTCTGCCTCCGACAATGATCAGTTGGTAGCAGTCACCTATACTGTGGTTACTCCCCTACTGAATCCCCTTGTTTACAGTCTGAGAAACCAGGAGGTGAAGATTGCATTGAAAAGAGTCCTAGGAGTCCCTGTGGCAACAAAAGTGGTCTGAAGAAAATTATAGAATTTAATTTAATTTAATTTCTCATACGAGAAATCAAAGGCATGACATTTTCTTGGTGCCTTTATCAGTCTATATATGACAGACCATGTGTCCAAAGATTAAGACCACTGTTGCCTTTTTCTTTCCTCTCATTCTAGAAAAAAGTGCAGACTACTCTATAAGCTACAGTGTATGGTGCCTGGACATAAAAGGACAAAAAGAGGAAACATGAAAGTTTTTCAAGTTAAAATACAATATCCAAGCTGAACAGAAGACAAGGATTGCTTTTCTTGTTGGATGTAGAAAATAAGGCTAAGGTTGCTAGAAGAATCTTATCCAGAATACAGGCATTCACAGTAAATACACTGTGCGTCAGATTGAAACTCAGTGAAAAAGTAAGATGAATAAATTGAGAGTTTATGGAGGTAGGAGAGCAGCTATGTGGAAAGACAATGAAAAATAATGTTAGGAGAAGATTATCAGACCTGTTAAAAGCATTTAAACACAGGAGTATGAGAAACAAAGGAAGAAGTATTTAATTCCTTCTGAGAGAACAAAAGAAAGCATTGGAGTAAATGGGACAAGGGGAGTCAAACTTTGAACAGGGCCTTACAAGGAAAGCAGATTTTCAATAACAGGACAGTAGATTTTCCAGTAACAAAAACATTGGTCAATATTACTGGCATTGTTGATTTTTTAATTTATAAATTTAATATAATATCTTTGGCTTTGCTTCTTTATGACATTTTCATACTTATTTCTCAGGAGGAAGGTAAATGCTCTGAAGAGGCAGGAATGGCCCTAAGCCATCAGTTGTTGTTGTTAAGTACCGTGGAGTCGGTTCCAACTCATAGTGACTCTGCACAGGGTTTCTGATGCTGCGAATCTTTACGGAAGCAGAAAACCTCATCTTTCTCCCGCAGAACAGCTGGCAGTTTCGAACTGCCGACCTTGAGGTTAGCAGCCCAATTTGGAACCACTACGCTACCAGAGCTCCTTCAGTGCTCATAACAAAAAACTTACATGACTGTAGCTTTTTTATTTTAATAATTGAGACTATGAACCCTAAACATAATTAATTTCAAATTCTATGTCTGTAGTTTTCAAGATATGTAATTTCAGGTAAATTATTTAAAACTGTTCAAACTGATGGGTCTTGAGTTTTTCACCTTGAAAATCTTTTTGTTAACATGTGAATTGCCAAAGGAGCCCTGGTGGTACTGTAGATAAAGCACTGGAATGCTAACTACAAAGTTATGAGTTCAAAAACCAACCAGCCACTCCTTGAGAGAAACATTAGGCTTTCTGCTCCCAAAAGATTCACAGCCTCATAAAACCTTATACAAGGTTGATATGAATTGAAATTCATCTGCTGACAAAGGGGTTTGGGTGAATTACCTAGTTAACCAAGAGTTAATAACTGTCCACTCCTGCTGTGGTGCTGAAGGATTAGCACTGACCTGCAAACCACAAAGTCAGCAGTTCAAACCCACCAGCTGTTCCTCAGAAACCCTACACAGGGTCACTATAAGTTGGAACCGACTCGATGGCACTTAACAACAACATACCCTTTTGCTACCCACTTCCTCACCCATACCAAAATAAAAATTTCCATACTTATTAAAAATCATACTGCATCACAAAAATATTAGACTATGTTACAATTAATTGGGTGACCATGCAAATTACATATAAGTGGGGGAAATGTTTCATATACTAGAGTAACCAACATGCTCTCTTTTCTCTGTAAAACCACTGATTCCAAGCCGCAATGAACCCTCAAACCTCATAGATTACTTTCTATTTTTCCTGCATACAACAGTTTGTTAAAACCATTTAAAATGGTTGTACTTACTGTTCTATTCTATTTCTGAAATATGCTTTTGTATTATGTAATATGGTGAGGTATGATTACATAAGAGAGTAATTGTTTCCAATACAGTCAAATCGAGTGCTTTGAAAAGAAAATGTTAGTAGAAGAATCACAGAAGAAAACAAAGTTTTAAAAAACTTAGATGTGTTATGTGCTTGTGTCTCTGAATAATTTTGCCAGTGTCTCTAAATTCCTGATAATCTTTAAATTGTTTAGAATTTAATTAATGCATCATGGTCAGGCTTGTGATATATATACCCTAAAAAGCTCCAACTAATATTCAAATACTCATAGGAAAACCCTTATCCCTAAATTAAAATATTTATAAATATACTTTTGCTAAGTGCTGACAAGTCAGTTTCAGTCCTGTATAGGGTTTCTGAGGCTGTAAATATTTGTGGGAATAGAAAACTTAATATTTATCCTGAGGAGCAATGGGCTTGAACCAACAACCTTCTGGTATGAAGTCTAGTGTTTATCTTACAGAGCCACCATACTCCAGTTTATAGATGCATATATTTTTTAATGTTTAAGCTGAAATAAAACATGTAAGTTTTATGTGTCATTCTTTTTATTTTCTGCTCTGAAAGATTTTTTGGAAACATCAACTAACAACCCAGTAAGTTCAGTGAGAGGGCTTCTATTGTATGTTTGCGTTGTGTTTTATTTTTAACTTTTTATTATGAATTGAGTGAAGGTTTACAGAGAAGATCATCAGTTTTACATTCAACAAACCACACACCTTGTTTCCTCTCAGTGATTGCAATTCCCTCCATTTAACAACAGTTATCCCATTTATTCCCTGTGGATCTTTTGTCCGTTCCATTCTCCTTTCCAACCTTTCTCAACTTTGTCCTTTGGTAAATATTCGCCTTCTATCTCAAGTGGTGGACCATATACCATGATGAGCATACTTTCCTAATGTTGCTGTCCCCCCTATATACCTATGTACCATTTGGCTGAAAATTGGGCCACATGGGTAAGTTCTATTCCAGATCTGAAGGATGGTTGAGAGGGACACAATCTCAGATTCCTCTGGTCTCTTTCTGATCAATAAGCCCAGTCTTTTTTATAATTTTGAGTTTTATTCCACAAGTTCTCTCACTCTATCTAGGACTTTCTATTGTGATCCCTTTCAGAGCAGTTGGCAGTGGTAATCAGGCACCATCTAGTTCTTCTGGTTTCAGAGTCATGGAAACTGATATTCACATGTTCCATTAGTCCATTGGACTAATTGATTGCAAGCATCTTCAATTTTTATCACTCTTCTTTCTTGTGCGCATGGAGAAGTCATTAGTTGCACCTTAGATGGCCAGTCATGAGATTTTAAGATTCCAATAGATACGCAGTCACATATAGAACATTGAGGACTGTGTTATGCCAACTGACCCTGGTGTCCCTCAGGCACAGCATCCTTTGCTTCAAGGTGTTTGGTAATGTCTAAGAAGTTTACATCATTTTACCCCCTTTATGACTTCTGGTGTGGGGTTGTCAGTTAATACAGTAAACTGCAACGTCAGTTTGGAGAATTAAGGCCAGCAGTTCTAACTCACCAGCTGCTCCTTGGAAACCCTGTACAGGGTCACTATGAGTTGGATCCCGACTCGATGGCACTTGCAACAACAAATGGTCCACCACATTCATCAGTGTGTTTGCAGTGAAGGTAAATATCCAAGTACAAATATCCTCTTTTAAACCTTATATATTTGTTAACATAACCCCACTCTCCCTCCCATACTCATTTAGCCTGTGTATTTGTCCTTCATCTACTCATAGAACATTGTTGTTGCAGGGTTATGTCCATAATAGTATTTGCTTCTAGCCAAAATGGATGTCAGAAGAGACACTGAAACTTGCACTCCAGCATAGAGATGCTTAAGAAAATGGAAGAGATGAGGAGGTCTAAGAGCTGAACTGAAATTTTGAAAGATCAACTCGAGAAGATAAAGCCAAATATTACAACTAATTGTGCAAAGATCTGGAATCAAAAAACCAAAAAGGAAGAACACGCTCAGCATTTCTCAAGCTGGGGGAACTGAAGAAAAAATTCAAGCCTCAACTTTCATTATTGAAAGATTCTCTGGGCAAATTATTGAATGATTCAGAAAGCATCCAAAGAAGATGGAAAGAATACACAGAATCACTGCACCAAAAGGAAATGGTTAATGTTCAACCACTTCAAGAGGTAATATATGATCAAGAGCCAATGATACTTAGGAAGGAAGTCCAAGGTGCATTGAAGGAATTGGCAAAGAACAAAGCACCAGGAACTGATGGAATAAAAATTGAAATCTTTCAAGAAAGTGAGGCGGCACAGGAGGCACTAACTCATCTCTGCCAAGAAACTTGGAAGACAGCTATCTGGGTGACTGATTGGAAGAGATCCGTATTTTGTGCCCATTCCAAAAAAAGGTGACCCAACAGAATGCAGAAATCATCGCACAATCTCTTTGATATCTCATGCGTGTAAAGTTTTGCTAAAGGTAGTACAGAAATGGCTACAATCATACATTGACCGAGAACTTCCAGAGGTTCAAGCCAGATTCAGAAGAGGCTGTGGAACGAGGGATATTATTGCTGATGTCCGATGGATCTTAACTGAAAACAGAGAAAATCAGAAGGATGTTTACCTGTGCTTTATTGACTATGCAAAGGCTTTCAATTGTGTGGATCATGACAAGCTATGGACAACATTGAGAAGTATTAGTATTCTGGAACACTTAATTGTGTTCATGAGGAATCTACCTGGACCAAGAGGCAGTTGTTCAAACAGAACATGGGAACACTGAATGTTTTAAAATTCAGAAAGGTGTGCGACAAGGTTGTATTCTTTCACCATACTTATTCAACCTATATGCTAAGCAAACAATACGAGAAGCTGGGTTCTTTGAAGAAAAATGTGGCATCAGGATTGGAGGAAGACTCATTAACAACCTGCGATATGCAAATGATACAACTTTGCTTGCTGAAAGTGAAGAGAACTTAAAACACTTACTGATGAAGATCAAAGAGCACAGCCTTCGGTATGGATTACATCTCAATGTAAAGAAAACAAAAATCCTCACCACTGGACCAATAAACAACATTCTTATCAATGGAGAAAAGATTGAAGTTGTCAAGGACTTCATTCTTCTTG